CTTACCCTTGATTAAAAAATTCATGAACCATAGAGTTTTTGGAAATTGAGTACACAATGTTATTGTGAAAGATTTTTGAGGTTGAGTCTTTGTTTAGTTTAGTTTAGTTTTTACTTTTTGCCCTGTAACGGTGCTTTGGCCTTAGTGCATAGGCACAAACAGCCACTAACAAGATAAATGGTCAGTAGATAGCTAGATTATTGATTATTGGTGGTAGAAGAAGTAAGGTGTTGATTATTTGCTTGGATTATTCACTGTGTGGATGTTGGGAGTGGAAGTTTAAAGTTACACAATTATTTTGTTGGAGCGGATGAAGTTGCTGAGAATGGAGTATTTGTTCTTAGATGGATCAGCTAAAAGGGTGGCTGAGTTGATAGGGAAGTAGACGCCAATTTGGCTCAGTTGATCGAAGAGTGATGATAAATTACTAAGTTGATTGCACTGTAGAAGTATGTGGTCGATAGTCGCAATTTGTCCACAAGCGCACAGGTTAGAGTCAGCTAGGTTGATTCTTCGTAGATGAGCTGCAAATCGTCCGTGACCCACTCTCAAGCGGGAAATAACGTTGGTGGTGTCTTTTGGGAGGAATATAGTAGAGAACCATGGTGAAGTAGATACTGTGTTTTGAATACTGAAGAGTCGTGCGCCTTTGACTTGTGAGGAATTTTCCCATTCTTGTTGCCAAGCGGCTATCATATTCTCCTTGAGATAAGGAGTAAAATTGGAATAATGGATTTTTTCAAGGCGTATATCAATAGCACCGTCATGATTTCTGGTTAGCTTGTCTGCTTCTTCATTTCCCCATATTTGTTCGTGTCCTGGGGTCCACACTAATCTGATATTCGGGTGTTTTAGGAGGAAGTTCCTGATGTCTTGCAAATCCTGCTTATCTGTAGAGGACTTAAGGTTTGTTATTGATTGGATGGCTCCCATAGAGTCCGTACAAATTGCAGCTTCCTGGATATTTTTTTCGTAGAGTATAACTGTGGCCTCGAATATGCCTCTCATTTCTGCATTTAGAATTGTGAGATGTTTATTCAATAATAGAGTTCTTGCTATATTTAGTTCTGGGCAGAATATACCGGCAGTTGCTGATTCACTGGAGATAGAACCATCAGTGTAAATGAAAGTTGATTGTTTATTTTCTTCTCTGAAGGCGTTGAAGAGTTTATTTGCGCCTAAATCTCCTTTGCGTTCGATGGGGAAGGAGACATTTATGGAGGCATTTCGATTGTAAGATTTGAAGAAATATTGTCTATTTTCAGCTGATTCTACTTGGGCGATAACATGTTCAAGAGAAAGGGCCCTTGAGAGAATTAGAGGAGGGTTGTTAGTAATTCCTGGGTGGCTGTTGTTCCCCAGATGTAATAATTTTTCAATAAATTGCTTTTTGGATGGTAGGTTAAAATTGCAGTTCTTTAGAATAAATTTATCTGTTACGAGCCTTGCTCTCATTTCGATTGGGGGGATGCCACTTTCTACGTACATGGCGTTAGTAGGAGTGGATCTCATGAATCCAAAAATTCTCCGAATACATTGATTGATATGAACCGTCAATTTTGATGCTGTCTTCCTGTTGAGATAGTATTGAATACCGAAATCAGTGACAGAGAAAATGAGGCCTTGGAATAAAGTTCTTGCAAATATTTGGTGAGTACCCCATTTGACACCAGTTAGAACATTCACTAGGTTGGTGTTTCTAGTCAGTTTTTCAGATATGTATTTGACATGTGCAAGCCAGGTGAATTTCCTATCATATTTTAAACCCAAATAGATGAAGTCGAGTACCTCGATGATAGCTTGGTTGTAGAGGAATATTGGAGTTTCGGGTAGTTTCCTTTTGCGGGAGAAGGTAATTGCTTTGGTCTTTTCTGCAGATGCTGTGAGGTCGATTTGGTCTAGGGCTTTAATAAGGTTGTCGAGGTCCGATTGTAGGAGTCTAGCGGCTACTTCTTCGATTTTGTGTCTAATATAAATAGCAATGTCGTCTGCAAATTCTAACATCCTACCGAAGGTGACTGCTTTGTGAATTTTGCAGGTGTAAATGAGGTAAAGCAGTGGGCTTAGAACAGAGCCCTGTGCTAGGCCGACGAATGAAATTCTGACTCCATATTCAACTTTATAAAGTTGGATGTAGACTGATTTCCTTCCAAATAGCCAGTATACTGATTTGATAAGTCTTTTGTTGATTCGCAGGTGTTTCATCATTTTTACCAGTGTGGGAATGTGGACTGAATCGTATGCTCCTTGGATGTCTAGGAAGACTACTTTTAGTACTTCATTTCGGTTTAGGGCTTCTAGGATTTCCTGATTCAATACGTTGTGGTTGTCAAATAACGAGAAATGCTTTCGGAATCCAAATTGCACAGGAGATAGGAGGTTGTGATGTTCGACATGTTCTTCAATGAAACCCCTTAGGATTTTTTCATAGGCCTTCCTGACGATGGAGAGAAGCGCTATGGGTCTATAAGAGGTGTGAATATTTTCTGGTTTGCCAGGTTTTTTAATTGGCTTAATTATTACCTCATTCCATTTGGCCGGGGTGGTTCCAAGGTTCATTGTTTTGAGGAAAACTTTGTAAAGGTAAACTTTCGCTATCGGAGGGAGCACTTTAAGGAGTTTCGCAGTGATTCTGTCCTTTCCTGGGGTTTTCTTGGACATTGTTAAAAGGGTCTGTTCAAAGTAATCATAGGAGAAGAAAATGGGGTCTTCGTCAAGTACATCCATGTGTAGGGGTTCAGATTCAACATAGTCAGGGGAGAACTTTGCTTGAAAGTCTTTCACCCATGAGTCGTCTTTAGATCTTACTGGCTCTTTGGAGAGGCGTTGGGTTTTTAACTTGGCCCAAATTTCACTGGTGGGCGTGTTTCTGTTAATGGTAGAGCAGTATTTGTGCCAGCTGTCTCTTTTTGCCTTCCGAACAGTCAGTTTAAATTTGTTGCAGCTGATACGGTAAGCAATAAGGTCTTCGTATGAGTTGGTTGTCTTGAAGTTGTTTAAGCATTGTGCTCTCAGGTTCTTAGCTTTTTGGCACTCTACAGACCACCATCTTTCATGTTTCGATAACTGGTGAGAAGGGGGTCTGGAATTTTCTTTGGGGGAGAATTTCGAGTTTTCAAGAGCGAATTGGATTACTGCATTCCAGACGTCGTAGTCTTTTTGGCGGACGTTCTCTATGATCTTGAATTGTTGCTCCACTATTTTAGCAAACTTCTTCCAGTTGATCAGTGGAGGAGTGGGGTTGTTCGGTGGAATCTCAGAGCATATGGGAGTTAAGTTTGGGTTGAAGGTGAAAATTAAAGGATGGTGGTCGCTTCCTGATGGGATGTCCAGGACTGTCAAATTGGACGATGCTGCCAGTGAGTTTTTGATGACGATTAGATCAGTGAAGCTTGGATCCTGGTTTGGGCGAGTTATTCTTGTGGGAGTAGGGTTGAGAGAGTTGACTACAAACATGTCGTGATCATTGAATATGTCGATTAGGGTTCTGCCTTTTCTGTCTGAATATGGATAACCCCAAGTAGGATGGTGGGAGTTGAGATCACCAGCTAGGATCACCTTTTCGGTTTCTAGATCTTGGAGAATGGTGATCAGGGGTTGGAAGTCTCCTTTGTACTTTGGTGTTGCGTAGACATTGATGAAGTAGATAGTTCTATTTGGTTCTTTTTTATCAACAATTTTTGTGGTGGAAATTTCTAGGTCAGTTGGGTCGTTGGAGTTGTAGCTTAACTCTGGGACTAACTCAGATTTCCAGATATTTTTGTGGCCAGAGAGGAGGCCACCGTATCCGTCCACTCTGCTGGCACTGTATGTAATGTAAGATTTTGTTTTAATATTGTCTTGAGGTTTTAGCCATGTTTCGTTCAGTAAAAAAGAATCTGGCTGGTATGTGCGTAGAAAATCGTTAATATCAAAGCCGTTCGCTCGTATGCTGTGAATATTCCAGAAAAATAGAGAAAATGACATAGAAAAAATAGATTGAGTTTAGTTAGATGATGTGACTTAGAGGTTCTTCTACGTTGGTAGTTAGTGGTGAATTTAAAGATGAAAGGGTATTAGTTAGTTGGTGGTGCTGATAAGTTATTATTTTTGCTAATTGAGTTGATGATTAATTCTGGTACTTGTATTCTTGGTGGGTTATAGTCTTGTTGGTCGGAAATGAGATCAGGGTGGGAATCAGAGGTGTCCATGGAAATCGGTGAGGAGTCAGCGCGAATGTCCACTTGGAGACCTACGAATTCCAGGTTAGAATCCGTATTATCAGTTTCGTTGGGGGGTGGAGGCGGGCTGGGGGTAGAGTTGGTTTCTTTAATATCCTGGGATGGAGGAGGGTCTCGACTTTTCAGACGATTGACCCATTCACTTGGGAAGTCGTCATCCGCTCTTCTTTTTTTCTTAGGGTAGGAGAGTCTATCGTGGGACTTGCTTCTGGAAGTTTGTTTGGAGGAAGAGTTAACTTTCCGAGAGTTGTTGAGTTCAGGAAACTCTTCATGTCCTAGGGCGGTGAACCTGTTATTACTATTAGTAACTGAATGAGTTTTCACCCTGTTGGAGAATTTCTTGTTATTACCAAATTTATAATCATTGCTGTAAGAGTCCTTGATTGCAAGTGCTTCTTTAAAGCTGATGTTGCTTTCTGCCATTATCCCATTCACTTTCCGGAATTCTTTCCTACTGGGGCAGCTACGGTTGGTGGGAAGGTGTGGGCCCTTGCAATTTAAGCAGCTAAGTTCAGATTTAGGGCAGTCTTGTAATTCATGAAAATCTTCACCGCACTTTTGACATCGTTTTTTACTGCGACAAAAACGCTGGAGATGACCAAATTTGAAGCAGTTGAAGCATAACTGAACTGGGTTAATATATAGTTCTATGGGAGCTATGTAGTAATCGAGCTTTACTTTTTCAGGTAGAGAGTTAGCAACAAAGGTAACGACCATTAATGGTAGAGGATATTTGGTCTTCTTAATCGGGTCATACTTGTGTATTCTTTTGACTTCATAGACTTTATGTTCACATGAGATCATTTCTCTGATTTCTTTCTCAGAGTATTCAGGTGGAATATCCTTCAGAATCCCCTTCTTCAGAATTCTGTGTTTGGGGATGAATACAGAGTATTTTGCCCGGTCTAATTTGTGGTTGGCAATAAATGAGTTAGCGTCAAATAGGGAATTGAATTTCACTTGGGATGTGTTCCTATTAACTTTAATAATAGATACGATTCCGTTCACCTCAGTTTGACGAAGAATCCTGCTGAGTTGAAGAGGGTGGATATGGGGGATTTTGCTTCGGTCAGACACTGGAAGTTTGGATATGTTGACGACGAAGGGTGCAGAGCACTTGTCATTGTAGAAGAGCTGATCCGGTTGATCTGAGGAGTTATCTGTGTTTGTACTTTCGGGATAGATTTTTTGAAGGGTCGTATCATCAGTCGGAGGAGGTTGGATAGGTTCGCCTGTTCCGCCGGAATGAGCATTCTGGGGAAGGTCGGCCATTTTGGCTTGGGTATCCTTGGAGCTTGAGTCTTTATCACCAAAAATAAACACTTTTTCACTAGATCCTGGCATTGTAGGGATCCTGGGAATCAGGGATTGAGCATGTGGAATCTTACCACCAATAATCAACACTATTATCCACAAGGCACTTGTGTAAACTTATATTACTGATTAAGTAACACGCTAACACGGTACGTACACGAACGCGGCGAGGCGGGGACTGTGTATTTAAATACGGTCATGATAATAAACTCCCATCATTGTCGATGGCCGATGCACAGTTTTGCGCGAACGTTATGATAATAAAAATCCGCCATATTGCCGATCGCGCACCTGAAAATCGCATTTGAAGTCGAATTTCAACTAATTTCAACCTCCGGTTCGTTTATGCGGAGTGCGAAAACCTAGTCTTTAGTGTAAAATAAGGTTTCAAACACAAATTTCGGAAACCTACATTTCGTTAGTTCCGTATCGTTTATGCCGTGATTTGAACCTTGGTTTCAAACTTAGGTTTCGATTGAAGTTAGGTTTAGAGGCTCGCATAAACATAGCTAGTATAAAAGGGACTCTACCCTATACTTTTCTGAACCCGCCAGCTCTTTGCAAGGTTGTCAAATGTAATAGTAGGGCCCAGCTAATTGCAGGGTTGCGAAATGTAGTCAGTGGTGCCAACGAAGAGTCTAATGTTTTGTAAGTGTAAAAGTCACCGTCACAGAGTAAAAGAGTTTGAGTACCAAAATTAATGTAACGGAAACGATTTCCACAGCCTCGGCGTGCTCATGCTGGCCAGATGACTGATAAAATCAGATGTGATCAGCCACAGTTAAAGGGCCGATTTTATCTCTCTGTGTCAGGACGGCGCTAATTCCGGTGTCAGGTAACACC